TAGTCCAAATAAGGTACAAACATAGAACAGTAAAGAGTATGGAGTGACTTCTGATCCACAATATTTTTAACTCTTGCCAATATAGATATACTTTTAGCCAATTTATTATGTATATATTTAATATGAGGTTTCCAACAGATTTTATCATCAATATTTATGCGTAGAAATTTTGTTTTGTAAACTCTTTCTATATTGGCATCCCCCACCCTTACTTGAATCTGACGATTTAATCTTCCATATCCAAACAGCATGAATTTTGGAATCAAACCACATTAAATCAAAATCACACAAATAACTACTAGACAAAAACATGCACTTAGTCATTTGTTCTATACCTCAAAACCCATGTCCCAAGAAAGTAAGTAGTTATCTAATTTAAAATGATATAATTTCTATTTTCTCTATAATTTATATACACAGTTTGTTGGCTATTATAGATGGTGCCATCTAGTCGTCATATCTATCCTTATCGCTGTTTCAGAGCGTTTCCTCTGACCTGCTGCATGAATTAAAGACCTTTGGTGATACTGCATCACAGCAACGTGTTCGCCTAGAGGTGAGTCGGAGACGCTGAAATCTTTGTATGGAACATTATAATTTTTCTACTTGTTGTGGTTTTATGAACAGTTATAGTGCATTTATACATATGTCCTCTCACATATTTACAGGAAATCCAAGCAACAATGAAAGACCTCACTAAAGCACGGGAACATATGATACAGGAAAGGGAAAACTTTTCTATGGAGGCTGCTGAAATGGAAAAAGCTCTGAAGGAAGCAGAAGCTCTCTTACTGTAAAGGTGTACGATAATTTGCCAGTTTAAAAATATTGGTGTATAATGTGTGTTGTTTCAATGTCGGTGTGACTGAAACTGAATAAAGGATTCTTATTTCTTTTGTTCTCTTCATATTTCAAACTGAAAACATCATTTTGCACATGGCAAGTTCTTATGGGTCAAACAGGATGTTTAGTATTTAAAGTGTGTTTACCCACTTCTTGTTTGAGAGTAAATTTGTGCAAACCAAATTCCAGTTCTAAGATAAACATTGTAACAATTTTCCTATATACTGTTAATAAACATGTCAGGAGAAATGCCTGTTATTGTGTCATTATATTACGGTGTTATACTTCTATACACACAACTCATGGTACTTGCTTGTACTTCAAGCTGGTCATGAACTCTTCATCTCTCCACAGTGCACATTTGTCTTCAGAGGCTCTATTTTTCTGCTGGGCAGGTTGGCATAGGGGTTCTCGGAGAGCTCTAGACTGGTTTTAACCACGCTGCTGTTGCTGTTGCTGTTGCTGTCTAAGTATTTATTAGCCTTTGCTCCTGAGTGGCTGGTTTTGTGGTAGTAGATGAACAGGAAGAAACCTGCCGGGCAGAGAGATGGTCACTAATACATAATTAATACTAATAACACTAAATGCTCCACTGTGTTCCCCAGCTACTTGATAACCTTGTCTGGCTGCTATTTGATGCTGGGCAGATAGTGTACAGTGGATCTAAGTTGTAGAACTGTGGTGAGCTGCAGACTCAGTTGATAACACACTGCGTTGTCAATACAAGCACAAAGCCATTTCATTTATTGATAAATACTGTATTAATTAAAACAGCTTGCATGAGTCATGTAGTAAAACCCTACCTATATGAAAAGTGTGTGTAAAATAGGATTCAATAAAATATTATTGATAACTGATCATATCCAAGATGATCACAATTATGAATACCTTGGAATGAATTGAGGGTTGTAAAAATGTAGTAGGAGGGGATCAAGAAGACTCCATATGCGAAGAAGGCAAAACCCCATGTGATACCCAGCATGCAACACAGGCCCAGGATTGATGTAATACTCTTTCCATCTCTGCTAGTTTGTACAGTGTCAGCTTTGCTTCTCTTCAAAAAATAGAGCCAGGACAATATGATGATGAAGGTAGTGAAGGTGAAGAGGAAGACTAACGCGTAGTAGCCTATGTTGACAACATAGTGGACGACACTGTCTGTTATCCAGCACCTTGGAACAGAAGGATATGTCAATAAAAAAAACATGATACTGTATATTAAATATATAATCCACAGACTTCAAAATAGTTTTTCAACCCACATGGCCACGTTGTCTGCAGCGTTGTCAGTGTGGATGATTTGTTGACCATATTTACCTATGATGAGCAGCACAATTCCAACTACACTAGGGATTACTGGAAATGGAGAAAATTAACAACAACCAGTTAACCACTGAACTACAAATGTAAAGTCCATTGCCAGGTCAAAAGGCAAGGAGAAATGTTTGCAGTTATCAAAGCCACGGTGTTTATATACATTTTCTCTTCTCAAAAAATTTAATAATGACATGCACTTACTCCAGCTGGTGATAGAGACTTTGAGCAGGTAATGACGGATTTCAATTCTGCCTCCTGTGTACAGCTGCAGGCAGAGGTGGAAGGCCTGCGCAGCAAACCAAGTGAAAGTGGCCAGCATGAAGTAGTGCATGAAAGCTGCCATAACTATACAACCCACATGGCTTTTCAGTTTTGCCACAGAGTTGTTGATCAAGAAAGTGAAATTAAGTAGGAACATGGCTAACACGAGGTGGATCAGCATCTTTGTCGCGTTACTGGCCTTGGTTCTCCTGTGAGAGGAGATAAAGAGAAGTTATGAGGAGTCAAAGATGCAAAAGATGACATGACCATACAAGACGCCAAAGTAACATATGACATCCTTTATTTGCATTGGGGTAATGTGGTTTTTTTCAACAACAGGCCTCCAACAATGAAGATACTCATTCATTCATTCATTCATTTTCTACCGCTTAATCCCTGTATGAAGATACTATTCAACAAAATAATTTCCCTACTGATATTTTAGCCACAGTGTGCTGCTGTTATGCAAAGTAAACCAATTTACATGAACCTGTATAAACATTACCCGTTGTGGAACAACATAGCAATCAAGCAAGATGTTTTCTTGTTTACCTGTATGTTGTTTTTATTTTATTAAAGGCTAGGATACATTATCCTTGTGTGATTTGTAATATAAATGTTGATTATGGTGTTTACTGTGAAGCGATCTTTTTTTTTTTTTTGCTCACTCTGTCTGTACTACATGTGGTATTCTCTCTCATTCCTTTTTGTATATTAAAGAGTTCAGTGGGGCTACATAACGAGAAAAGTTAGCTGAAAAATCCTGTGAATCCTCATATTTCTCTGTGACCTGTGGGAATTTGGATAGTGAGTAACTTGCTGTAGGAAGGATGGTTTGTATTCTGCAGTTAAAATCTTACACACAGTGGGTATTACTGTGCTTCTGCCCAATGCAGTTGATTTCATCCATCCATTCATTTTCTTTTGCTTTGATAGAATATAAGTTATACCTCATCTAGCCTGGGAACATCTCAGGGTGCTCCAGGAAGACTTGCAAAGTGTTATTATGTTTCTTATGTTTTTAATCAGTTTAATTTGGACCTTTTGGTATATTTTTAACCTGTTGTGAAGCATGTATCTGTGTGAAAGGTAAATAATTATTATTACCTCATAAGGCAGTGCATGAAGAGGACTAGGCCGAGGAAGAACATAGATAAGCCACAACCGACCTGGGAAATGATGGTGAGAGTGTTCAGGTCATAAGCAGAGATAGTTTCATTCAGAGGAGTCTGTGAAGGGGCAAAACATAAACACTTTAAGCACTTTATCATTGTACTGACAGTCAACCTGAATGGTTTATGATGAACTTCATTACAGAGCGAGTAACATAGTTAATTTTGTGGGGAAATTTAAAATAATAACTAGGATGGGCATACAGAGGAATAGCCAAATACAGTATTTATAGAGGAAAAGCTTAATATATAGTGCAAATATTTAAAAAAAATCAGTAAAACACACCAGTAAGATGGCAAAAAAAGTCAAATGTGAACACTGGCAAATAATGTTGTTTCCTTCTGATATTGTATAACATCCATCTTCTGTCCAGTTTGGCTGGTTTCCTATGAGGCAAAACAAAGCACAGAAACAGGTGAAACCGGAGGCTTCATACGTAAATACATTGGAGTGTGGAACAATGACAAGACTTCATAAGTCTAATAGTAGAAGTAGATCCAGTGTGACTCCTGATTTCAAACTGGCTTGAAACACCCTCCCACTGCTGGTGTCGTCATGAGCTAATCCCTGATCTTCTTTGCCCGTGTTAAGGTCCTACCACCAAGATTTTTAGTTTACAAACTGATTAAGAGCTGCAGAAAAAAAAAGCAAGGCCTTATATACGTTTCAGCACTTCCAATACACTCTACAGATGGTCAAAAATGTTAGTGTTTCTTCTTTTTCTCCTCCTACAATGACGTTCCAGTGCACTATATCCCTCAGTGGTTTTTAGTGAGAACCTTTTTCATTACATACAAATATGTAAATGTGTGTGCAGAGAATGAGGGTGACATCACTCCCAGGTGGTGTAGACCTCTCCAAAAGTTCACCTTTGCACATTTGAAGCAATGTCTTAGATCAACATCCAAATTAAAGTGGGGAAAATACCTTCACCATTCCACGAGTGACAAGATGGCGTTCCTTCCTGTAAACAAAACAACAGAGCAGAACTGTCCTCTTGAATGGTACATAAATAACGGAACAACTGAAACAAGTAGAAAAAAAAGCAACATTTGATTTTGAATTTTTTCTTTTACTTACAAATGTGTTATTCCAAAAACTGATGTTTATTTTGTCCGTGAGATTGTTTATAGTGGTTCCCATTTCAACTGCTAAAACTTCATTACCTAAAATGGTGCTCTTTAATGCATCCTGAAGAAAAAAGGAACAACTGCAAAATATGAACAGAATCAGATATGTAAAGTGTATCCATCACTCAAGGTGAATTTTTTTCTTACCTGACTCAAATTGATGAACCGGAAAACAGCTACAAATAAACTAATGTTCATAGAGACAGCTTGTTCAAAAGCTTCTTTAGACACTGTAACAAATCTTGTAAAATCAGCCAGACTCTCTTTCTTTGTTACAATCTGCAGCAAAAGAGCATAAACTGTCAAATTTGTACAGTGCAGTTTAGTATATGGGTTTAAGGTTAAGTTTAATAATCGGCAGTCAGTGACACTGATATTACAGCACATCCAGATATTTTTCTCATTTTTTACTGTAAATATTAAAATTACAAGAACTATTCTTTATGCAAAATATTTACTTTCAGACTGTCACTCAGATTTAGATCTGACTCTTTATGTTTTAGTTGGTTTAAATACAGCAAATTTTAAACGTTACCTATATGTTGCAGCAAATAATTTAAACCCATCATTAGTTTTTGTAAGTAACACAATCTTAAAAAAGTAAACGCCGACTGTAGCATTCAAAAAACGTAGTGGAATATATTCTTCTGAAATGTAATAAAATAAGAGTATAAAGTAGCAGAAAATAGAAATACATAGTAGGTACATAATAAGTAAAGTGTAAATACATCAAAGTATGTCAAAGTACTCTACTACAGTAAATGCACCCACACTTATGGAGTCATTTGGAGTCACATAACCAAAGGAGACTTCGTTTACATCCAAGGGGTCAGTTTTTTTAACTATGACACCTGTGATCCCTTCTCCCACTGACAGTTCAGCTGAAGACGCATTGATGCTGGATGCAAGGCTGGACATGCCATTCATTATGTTGCTGTTGACAGATAAAAAATTTTAATGGTTTACTCTCCGTGTTTAAAGGAATAGTTCAACATTTTGTTAAATCCACTTATTTGTTTTCTTGCCAAGAAAATAGAGCTTTCTCTGTCCTGCACATATAGTGAATTGACAATAAAAATCTTTGATATTGATCTTTAGCTCTGTCATGGTATCTTCTTACCTAACTCAGCAAGAAAAACTACAGCACATATTCCAAAACAACTGTTCATTTAGCAATGCCTTTGAGCATGTCTTACACAGCTTCAGCTGCGTCTATTTTTCCTCCTTTTTTAATTTCAACTGATACATTCATTGGAATTTTCATCTCTGGATGTTTTACTGGATTATCACAGTTGATACAGTTCTCCTTTGTTTCTGTAATGTTGATGATGTACATATCCTTGGCCTGTGTACCTGAAGGGAAGGAACATTCAAGTTTGGTGAGCTACAGAAGCAACACTTACACACCTATATGGGCTTTTTTATCCAAAGGGAACTCACCTAAAAGTGTGCAGTAGTTTTCATCATAATTCGAGCTCTTACATACAGACTCTGTGAGCACACATCTAACCTGGCAATTGTCTACAAAAAGAAACAGTCAGAATTTAGCACCCATCCACAGTAGAGAAATTTAAGTCAGCATGTACCTAGTGGAGCAAATCTGTACACATTTAAAATGATTTAACATTATCTTTGATATGACTCATTTTAGGAGTTTATTTAGCAGTTTATTCAATCAAAAAGAGCCATGGAGGTGTGGTAAAGAAGATGATGAGAAGATTGTAAATTATTTGACTAATATTTAATAACTTACTGTACTTAAATATTACTTATAATTCCATGTTTAAGTTGTTTAAGTGAAAATTCAGTAATGATTGTGTTTTCATTAGCTTTGCCATTTAATTTGTCCACCCCAATATGAACTGTAAAAGATATGAGCTTACCTGTGACTGTGTGATTGAATACACAATCTGACTCTGTAAAATAAAAAAAACATTGTCAATAGATAAATAAATATCATCAACGTTTATGTTTGTATCTATGAACTAGCTTTTTAATGTTCTTGTTATTCTGGCAACTTGCTTATACGGTAAAATAAAGTAGAAATTCATTTTTTGGTGTTCACAATATTGAAAAATGACACTAAAATACATTTACATAATGTCACCTGTGAAGTTAAATGCTGTGTCACTGCACCTACTCCCATACAGGACATACATATGAAATTCCCTTCTAGTATACCAGTTTGGAAAGTGCAGAAAATCAGAACCAGTCTCCATTTGAGGCAGTTCATTTGACGTTTCTGTTAATTAAAAACAGAAATACAGTTAGACTTTTACTTTGTTATTCTGTGAGTATAAGACATAAGCTGTGCTTACCATTTATAATTTCATTTTTCTGATGAAATATTATGCAGGTATTTCCTGAAAGACAAAGATGTTTTTGCCAGTTCTATGTACAGCACATATTATGAGAATAAAATGACAAAAAGACAACCCAACTCTCTTCAAAAACTATTTAAAGTGTGCATGACAGTTTTGACTCACTCTGACTCCACGGGTTTACTGCACAGAGGAAGCCATTGAAGCTATCAGCAACAAATACTAGTGTTTTTGTTGTTCTCAAACAATCTTTGAGGTTATGGTTAGGTTCTCCTCCACCTAAAACATGTTAATTAAATCAGAAAAATTAAACAGCAAAAGACATATTTTCACACATTATAATAATAAGTGTAGATCTTAAGACGTGTTTAGTTCTTTATATTAATGTTCAAATATTGAAATCCTTATGAGAATAATACAGTGTGAAACAACAGTACTTGTTAGAACATTAGCAGGGATAAGGTTACTACCAGGCATTAATATTTTGAGATCGTTTGTACTTACAAATACGAAAAATCCACAGTAGGCCCACCAGCAAAACCATCCAGATATTTTGTGTCATGTTCTTTTGATGGCATTAAGTCTTGGTCAGGAGGTACGATTCATTCACTGCTACAGAAGATGACTAACAAGTCGTTTTTGTTTCAAAGTACTGTTTTGCAAGGGATTATGATCCAAAAATTATTCAAATACTTTAGCTCGTACCTTTCTCTGGCTGAAGTAACATCGAAGCATTGAGCTGTGGCACTAAATGAGAGCAACTGAACCTTTTGTCTAGATAAATGCGGCATCGAACTAACTTTGCATAAATGCCTGCTGCAAAAAGTTTGTCTTGTAAATTTCTAGTTCCTGAAAATGTCATCAGTACAAAATCTTAGTCACCCTCTTCTATGCAAAACAATACAAATAATATTAGCTTGCATGAACATCCAGAGGTGACGTAATAGTATACAAAGGACAAATGGTGCTTGTCATATACAGTAGCTTGTATGCACAACATTATTGTCTGCTTGGAGTAAAACACCACCTTTATAATATTTTTAATGTAACATTAATGGTAAATGTTCAAGAGCAAAGTATAATCAATGAAGAATATTTAGGAAGTTTGAAATTTGTAGTTTTAATTAACAGCAAATTGGAAATGGACAGTTCTTAAGCATCTAAGTAATCACTAAAACATGTTTAGACACTGTTAGGCCACAAAAGCTAAATAACATATTTAGACTTGCAACCATTTCACAATGAATTCCGTTAACAAATGGATGAAATCTAATAAATAAACCCTACAGATCAAATACATCTAAATGAGTTTGTGGCTCTGAAACAAGATGTTCAAGAAAAAAGATATAAAATATTGTGTTATAATGTGAAAATGAAATTTATAAAATGTCCGGAGCAAGTAAAACTAGAACTACCTAGATGGCAAGATTATTAGAGGCAAATGAGAACATACAGTGAGCCTTTTTGTTATGTGGGTGAACAGGCCCTTTAATGGATTCATGCTATGTCTTTATTGTCCTCAAGAGGGCAGCACAGTAGTTTTGTTTGCCATCAAACAACAGAAGACGAAGAGATGTGTTGCAGTTATTCTGAATTCGATGAAGAAGTACATAGCGGAAGAAAGTATAACTGCAGTTACCCTGTGGCAGCTGAGGGTAGGAATGAAAGATTCTGATCTACAGTGAGTAAAAAAAAGCACAACAACAGAAAGCAAACCTGGGGAATTTAATTACTGGCGTTACTAATGTAGTATTAATTACTAGTGTTTCTCTAATATGACCGTTTATGCCTGCATACGTGTTTGTGCATCGGTGTCCTTAGAGGATGAACTAGTACGTGTAGGGCTTGTACAAAGTGACCAACACACTGAGAGTTCAGTCATTTAAATGTCATAGTTTCCATAACGTTACACAACTTACTGTCATCTAAAATCATACCATTGTATTTATATGTTGATTCCACACCCACATGATTTATATAAAGCAATAGATTTCACGAATGGCCAACTACTTCTAATCAATCCAGGAAAACGTTGCTAATTAAACTTTCACTTATACATTAGCTTTTCACACTCGACTTCTAGCTACACCAAGCGTTTAACCAATTGCAGTAGCGATCGTCAGAATGTCGGGTGAACCAACACCGTTGACATCCACATAGGTATAAAACGTCCACTAGTAAGTAATGAAGTAGGTTTAGTTTATCCCGAATAACTGAGTGAATCCTGACGAATTGGAAAAGGTCTCTACTTGTGCCGTGTGTGCTGTGTGGAGTGTCAGATAACTAAGGCATCCTTTAATTTGCTGACTTTTAAGTGGAGGCTGGGATAAAGTGTGTGCTAAGGAAACTGGCAAAATATTTCACAACTGTCTAACCTGCAGCGTCAGATAGGAAATAAATATTTATTTGTTTATGGCCTTTTTAGTGCTTCACATCATCACACCTGGCATCTCAGTTGTCTCCTTTCTGTTTATTTAGAATATGTCTGCAGGTTGTGTGAGGTGGGTGCTAAGCCACATGGTGCGGGCTGCCTGTGGTGGCAGTCCTGGCCACTGGACACTGGCATCGAGGTTTCTCAAATACAGCGAAAGATCAGCTATCACTGCTGTCTCCTGGAGATGGTCTCCATTCTCCACAGTAGTAGATGATGCAGAACAGACGCCTGCACCCAAGAAGAAAAAGCAGGATCCCCAAGCTCGTGCCACAGTCAGCAGCATTGGCCGTAAGATCCCACATCGTCACATAGAGGTGATAGGTGAGACAGGCGAAAACCTAGGCACCATGCACCGTGCAGATGTGATCAAAATTATGGACGAGCAGGGTCTAAAACTGGTGCTGCTCTGCGAACACAAAGACCCTCCCGTCTATCGGCTCATGAGCGGAAAACAAATCCATGAAGAGCAGCTGAAATTACGGGAGAAGCAGAAAGCAAAAGCAGGTATGTGGCTTCAGGGCAGGGACCCAAATTAAGCTCCAGTTTAACACATGTACAGTACAAGTTAGAAGAATGTGAGTGCTCTAGAAACTTAAAGAGGAACTGCTTTGATTTCAAACATGATGTTTTGTTTTCTCATAAATAAAAAGTCAGTGAAATCAAGTTGTATAATGTCTTGTGTGGCTCTGGAGTAGTTTAGTCAAGTCTGAAAAATAACCCAGATGATGTCAACAGATTTAAAACCAGAAACTACACATGTACTGTATAAAGCAAATTTGGAGTGTGAAGTTTATAACATGCAGGCATCTGATGATGCTATTAATTTGATAATCTTTACTGTTATAGGATGTTACACAATGAAGCAATGACATTTTGAAAACAACCATTTAAATGTGTATTTAGGTGATTTGTGAATTAAGAGTTGCATTATGGGATATGTAGGATTTAGTGTTTTTGGAGCTTTTGAGGCCCCTGGGATGTCAGTCGGTAACCCAGCCTTGGCCATAGCTCACCTCTGTAGCTGTTGGTTGCAGCGTTGAATGTACAAATTAGTAGCTCTGTAATTAGGAGCTACTTAAAATATTTCTTAAAACATAACCTGTTTACTTTGTGAAGTAACCAATCAGCTTGGCAGGTCAATCTACAGTAAACCTAGTATGTGAAACAACTTGCTGACTGTATTCTCTCCACAGCTCCTGTGCAGGTGAAGGAGCTCACCTTTTCATCTGGCATTGCATCTCATGATCTCACCACCAAAGTGAAACAAGTGGAGAACTGGGTGGAGAAGAAGCACCACGTCAGGATTACTCTGCAGTTACGACGTGGACAACCTGCAGTCGACCTGGTGAGGAAGCACACTCACAAATATCAGCAAATGAGGTTACTCAACTCGTATCAGTTCCTGAAATTACCAAATTGTTAAGTGTTATTTGCAGTACAGAAATACAAACTTTTAGAAACAATGTTGACATATTTTACTCCCTAGAGAACACTAGAAAGATTATCTTTCACTTTTCTTAAATTTCTTACTGTCTCCTTACCTCCTTCTTTTGCCATTTGCACACTTGATTTTTGCTTTAAGGAGTTAGGATGGTCCATTAGAGGACATTTTCATGGTCATACATTAAACATAAAGTTTCTATATATACTGTATAAATAAGTGTGTTTTCTTGCCACAGGTCACAACTCTAGAGCAGATAGTGCAAAAGATGGAAGTAATGGTGGGATTTGTTTCCACGCCAAAGGCCATACGTGATGGTAAAGCAGCCACATGCGTCATCAGACCGCCGTCAGCAAAGGAACTGTCACAAAAAGAGAAGAATAAGACCGCAGTGTCGCAGTCTGCAGACTCCACTTCGAAGTCCACTGAGAGCAACGCATCCCCTGTTAGCAA